TTTTTTTTTCCTTCAGTGATACCTCAATAGAACCAAATTGCCTTGTAATACCCCCTTCTGAGCCAGCGCCACAGTTTCCCTAGGGAGTTGATCCCTTCTAAGAAAGAGTTTATTTTTCCTTGTGTACACTGTTTTGTATAAATGTTGACATCTAAACAGCATTATGAATGATTCCTGAGACCCAACAGCCCTATGGGTACACATGCAGACATGTACATTGTAACTACAATTAGTTGCATGTAGTTGGTTATAGAAGCCATCCATCACGCACGAAATACTCATGATAAGAATGATTAGAAACAAAGATTTTCCACAAAGACTATGCAAACCTCCTCCATAAAGCTGTTAGGTCTAATCGTTCATGAAACATGCTTTTAGGTGTCAACCCTTTTGCAATTGAGAGCATACATCTGATTATACAAGATGATCCATAACGATGATGATATTTGTGTACTCTTGTAGGCACCTTCAATGGTTTATGTGAGCAACCAAGGCATGGTCTATTGTGCTGGTGCTGCTCCCATGGCAATTCCAATGCAAACAGCAGGTGGTGTGGTAATGGTTCCAGTATCTTCATCAGGGGGCGTTGGAGGCCATCCTCAAACAGTTCAAATGCCAGGTGGTAGTGTAATGCAAGTAGTTAGTCAGCCACAGATGTACCAATCTCCTATGGCTGGAGCTGTGAGCATGCAGCCTCAAATGGTCCAGGTGCCAACATCTGGAGCTGGGGCTCTGGGGGGTCAAGCTCAAATGGTCCAGATGCCAACATCTGGGGCTCAAGGAGGTCAAGCCCCAATGGTCCAGGTGTCACAAATGGGAAAACCTGAAGGCCCACCAGAATTTACCAGGATCACTCCTGATGTAACAGTGCCCGCAGAGAAGGAACCACTTCCTTAAGTAATTACAGATTTCAATTAGTAAGTAAAATTAAATCCCTTGACACAACCTATAAGCTGTTCCTTAAATTGTCTTTGCTGAGTTGTCTATTTTCCCTGTTTTTGATATGGGGGGTCTGGTTTACAGTCGCTTCTGTGAGTAACAAATTATGATTAGTTTAGTAGCCTCTCAAAGGATGAACAACCATCTTTGAGACACCCTCCAAGAGTTTCTTCTCCGCAAAGTATAGCCGTGTTCTTATATGCGCACAGTGCTTTAACTTATAGGGAGGGGTGGGAACTTGTCTGAAAGTATGAATGATGATAACGCAATGAAAAATTCTTAAGGACTTGTTCTCACACAAAATGTTCTTTTTTTCCTCGTAGCTCTTTGTCAAAATCAACGGACAAGCACGGAGATTGTTTTTCGTTATGATGCTCACTGTTGTTTAAAAGCACTACACGCAGCAAAAGTAACACAGTTATCTTAAATGATCACCTTTCAGTTATTAAACGTGGAGTAAATAACTGAAAGGTAGATTTGATAGACTGAAAAGCAAGTATGCAGCTGTTTCGTGAAAGGTTGTCAGAAAAAAAGAAACAAATACACGCAATTCCCCCAAAAGGTAAAGTGGAATATTTTCAGGTCGCAGTTCCTTTATCTCAGGATTTCAGGGAAATCCGCCTGAGAAAACGGACGAGAATATTGCGATTTTATGAATTTATTTATTTTTTATTTATTTGACTTATAAAAATTAATTGATTACCGGATACCCAGATTGCCCTCGTCACGTCCTTTTTTCTGACCAACTATCTCAAAACAACTGTTTCCAGTACAGCTTAAGCACGGAGTGTACACTGCTGAAAAGGCTTAGTGTTCCCTTATTATAATTTAGGTGTAGTATTTATTTATAACACCTAAGAATGAAGCTGCACTTTTATTTAGAGTTATTAATTCCCACTCATTTGAAGGAAATTTTACTAGACTGTAAAGCTGGTCGTATTAAAAGCTGGAGTGAACATTTCCATGAAACAAAGGCATTGCAGAAGCGTCTCTGTTAATTATTTGCTAATCACTTTTGGTGTTATTTTTTGGAAGCGCTGATGAAATTTTTTTACTATTAATTACGAAGAAACCAGCATAGACATTGAAGCATCAGAGAGGAACATACAATCTTTTAGAACTCTATCTGCAGTAGGGGGGCCAAAAAATAAAAACTTCAATTATTGGTATTGTTTAAAACTTTTCACCCTATTACGAGATCGTTTTCTGCAATGGCACGAAAGTTGGCCTTCGATTGATCAAGTTTGAGAACGAGTTGAAAAGTTTTGATCATTATTGTTGAACGGTCAGAAGAGATGTCTCGCACGATAATGTACCCTAACCGAAGGAGCGAATGGTTGCTGCTCTCAGGTTACCGGGGGCTTTTTCATTTTGTTATTGACTTTCCCTTCCCTTCTAACAGAATGTAAAATATTAGG